ACAGAAGATGATGGAGGCATCATTTTCTCAGACGCTGAGATACGATATTGGATGGTAAACAACCTAGATCTCTCTTCACCGTCCAAGAGTGGCAACTCAGCGCAGACATACCTGATGAAGGAAGATGATGCAGACGCCGTCACCCTACCTCCGATCGACCCGATTGCTGCGGTGCCACAGAATCTAGATACAGCCTTCCATAAAGCCACGAAAGTGCAGACACCACATCTGCCGAACTTTCACGCCAAGAAGTTCTCCACGCACAATATGGACCCCTTCCTCAAGGCACAAGACATCGATGACAACTACAAGCTGATCAGCGATGTTAAGAACAAGAACTACAAGATTGACGATCGCAAGCTGGTGCAGATAGAAACCATGACGAGACGCCATGTTTTTTGGCCTAAATAGATCTAGAACGATCAATGAGACACTTATCACCAGATTTCGTAATACGACCTCTGAAGATGATAGGATGATCTACTCGGCCCTACTGATGCAAAAGAAGGACCAGCAGTTCCTAACAGATCATCTCACATCTGTCTCAGCAGCGCTGACCTTAGCTCGTCGTCAAGGCCTCCTCGCTTCCTGCAGCTGGGGTGAGAACTTTACAGCTCCACTCTATACAGCCCCGTGGTCTTCCCCATCCATCGTTGATGGAGGAATAGACAAAGTCTCCAAGGAAGTCACTAAGGACTCCAGAGAAGTCCTTATGATCAAGTCGATGGACACGCTAGCCAGCGTCATCAGGCAGACTTCACAAAGATACTCAGGGAGATCTAAGTTCTCTGGACTACAGAGAGCACGGGATAGGAAGATAGCCAGCGCCAGGGGAAAAGATTCTTTTCGTCGCCCATATGGCAACTATAGAGGAGGGTCAGGAAGAGGCAGGACACCCAGAGGTTCCCGCAACTATAAACGCTGAAAGACAGGTTCGGAACGACTGGAGTCTTCCACCCCCCAGCCGTTCCAGTACAACCGTCACAAGTGGGTGGACGCCTCCAACTACACTGGGAGAACTGGGGAATGTTACAAGACCCATATGTCTCCAACATTCTTCAACACGGATTTCGTATCCCACTACAGGCCACGCCTCCGCTGACAGTCAACCCTCACAAGTTCGACTTACAGGCACAACTACCAAAGTTAAGAGAGGCTGTTACATCACTCCTAACCAAGCAGGCCATAGAAGTACTAGATCAAGTAAACATCGAACCAGGCTTCTACTCCCCAGTTTTCCTAGTACCCAAGAAAAACTCCAAGGAGAAATACAGACTCATTTACAACATGAGCTTTTTCAACAGGAATTATCTACGCAAACCACCAAAGTTTCGCATGATACACCTACCTCAGTTACGGCAGTTGATTCGCCCCATGGATTACATGGCCAGTATAGATCTGCAAGACGCATATCTACATATCCCGATACATCCCGAATCCAGGAAATACCTACGATTTAGACTAGACGGGCTGCATTACCAATGGAAAGTACTCCCATTCGGAATATCATCAGCCCCCCTGGCTATTCACGAGGATAACGAAACCTATTGTCACCTATCTACATCGTCTAGGGCTACGCAGTGTGTTTTACCTCGACGACGGGATACAAGTAGATCAAGATCCACAGCATCTCAAACTACAGTTAAACTACATCATAAAGCTACTAACACAGCTAGGATGGTTAGTAAACTTACTCAAGTCGGACCTAGTACCATCGCAAGATCTGCAGTTCCTAGGCATTCGATTTATCACGACTCTCAACCGTATTGTCGTACCAGAAGACCGTTGGCTCAAGATCCAACAGACCATTCCGCCAGCTCTACTCTCTCCGTTACCACTACGACAATGGCAGAGCTTGTTGGGTCTCCTCACATCAGCCCAAGACATGACAGTCAGAGGCAGATTACAGTTACCAGTTACAGGTCTTCATCAACGCACATCTCGACGACCTACAACCATTCAGTCTACCGAAACATCTCAGACCTCATCTACTATGGTGGACCAGGAGGTCGAATGTCTGCGAAGGTATTTGTTTAGCAGAGCAGGAATTCAAAACCCATCTATATGTAGACGCGTCGCTCCAAGGTTGGGGAGCTCATCTCGCCAACCGGACGGCATCAGGGTTATGGAATCAGCAAGAAAGCAAGCTCCATATAAACATGTTAGAGATGAAAGCTGTAATCAATGCCATACTTCATTGGAGCACCATTCTACAGAATGCGCACCTAATGATTCATACCGACAACTCGACAGTGGCGTTCTATGTGAACAAACAAGGCTCAACGAGATCACTGAACCTATTGACTTTAAGCTTTCAACTGTTCGATCTAATCCACGATCTAAACCTACATGTCAGAGCATGTCACATTCCCGGAACCAAGAATGTACTAGCAGACCCACTCTCTCGGCCACATCAACCGTCACCATCAGAATGGATGCTCAATACAGAAATATTTGCACAGATAATCAAGCAAATAGGAGCGCCGCTAGTAGATCTATTCGCCACACGCTTCAACAATCAGCTACCGACATTCGTGTCACCAGTCCCAGACCCACAAGCATGGGCAGCGGACGCTCTAAGCATATCCTGGAAGGCCTCAATGCGTGCAGCGTTCCGCCAGCAATAATACCTCAAGTGTTACAGAAAATCAGACAAACACAGAGCCTCCAACTCACTTTGGTCAGCTCTACTGGCCAGCCAGAACGTGGTTTCCCATTCTAATTCAAGAAATCGGTCAACCAACACTAGAGCTACTCAAGCGCTCAAATCTATTAATACATCCACACACCAAACAGGTGCACGGAAGCCCAGAAGTATTCCAACTTCATGTATGGACTGTATTAAAATGTGTTTAAACAAGAGAGGATATTCTACCAGGGCGGCAAAAGCGTCACGCTTGCCTTACGCAATTCTACACGTAACTTGTACGACGACAAGTGGCACAGTTTCGAAAATTACTCAAGGGATTTACAGCGAGAGATGCTACTCATCCACAAGTGGCAGATTATTTGTGTTACTTACGGCAAAACAAACATTTAAAAGGCTCGACATTGTCAACATATCTTGTCGCGCTTAGTTCTGTGATTACTATGAGAACGGGTGTCAAATTGACTAAGACTCCAGAGTTACTGGCCTTACTACGTGCTTTCCGATTGGAGGACCAAAAGCGGAAGTTCCACGCTCCAGCTTGGGATCTGAATATAGTGCTACAACACCTCACAAGTGAGGCTTATGAACCGTTGGAATCGACAACCTTTGAATTTCTCTCACAGAAAACGCTTTTCCTGTTATCTCTAACCACAGCAGCCAGGATGTCAGAAATTCACGCACTAGATTATGAAAGGATACAGTTTGATGACAATCAAAACACAGCACACCTGGGACTAAGATGGGATTTCATCGCCAAAAATCAACTACCAGGTCAACCAGACAGGTTATTCCATATCCCTGCACTATCCTCGATTCTCGGATCTCAAGATACACTGGACTTGTCTCTATGCCCAGTCAGAGCTCTCAAAATCTATTTACGACGTTCCAAAACAAGGCGAAGATTTCTCAAACGATTATTCATCCCCTTGTCGGCAACAACTCAGACAGAAGTCTCTCGTACCACCATATCTATATGGATAAGAACTGTCATACTTCGCGCCTACAAGGCAGCAGGACTGGACCCTCCAACAGCATCAAATCCCCATGAGATCAGGGCATTGGCTTCCACTCTCTCGCCCTACACGGTAACTGTTCATTGAATACAATTATGGAAGGATGCTTTTGGAAATCTAACATGGTGTTTGCTAATCACTATCTGAGAGATATCACCACCGAGGGCGTCTCAGGTATTCACCATTTCGTCCCTTGGTCCTCGCTTTGCAGTTGACAGTCCCTCAGAACGCGTTAACACATAGTCTTACGAGATTAATATGCATAATTGATACATGCATTATCTAGCTATAACTCTACGGAGTTCTAGCACTATGTTTATATACTTAGCTTAGGTCTACTCACCCTTAAGCTTTTACTGATGATTATGTTCAGTTGTATAGCTTCTCTATCAGAGTCGCTTTTATATTGTTATTTGATAATATCACAGTATATTATTATTGTAAATACCCCAGTATGGCAATATATAACCTATGGCTTATAATAGAGGAAATATCCTAAGTCTATGCCTTTATGAAGTTCCCGTAAGGGGTTATTACAGTTATATCTATATAAATCACTAATTCTATAAATCCAAAGTATTCTGTTTTCCCACCTCCGCTTCCAGTAGGATTCTACAAACAAAGAGCATAAGTCAGGATAAGGAAAAATATGTAATTTTTAGAGTAAAATTGATATTTTATACTTATCCTGACTCATGAGGTAAGCCCTCCAATCCTCCCCACATAACACTTTGGATTTCCCTGTAAATTCAAGTGTTGGGCTCGCAAAATCAGGAGAGAGTGAAGCATGAGGCCAGAGGGTGGCGACACCTGTTCACGCGCAAAGGGCAAGGGAGGCAACTCTTGGTGAGTACCAATTAGTGGTTTTACATTGAAGGGAGCTTCAATTAAGGAGATACAAGTGTTCCACTATGTTCGCAAGAAGAAGAAGACAAGCAAAAGAGCATGAGTCAGGATAAGTATAAAATATCAATTTTACTCTAAAAATTACATATTGGTCGCAGTGACTAAACGACCAAGCAATCTAACATGTTTTCTCATAATCGAATGCAACCAATCTTGGACAATTGTTTGCATCAACAACAGTTTTCTTAAGGTTGGTTTTGTCTGTGTCATTAAGTTTACATTTCATAAGCACTACGAGCCCATTCTAAGTCATGATGGAATTTGTCTTAAAGAATCTAGGAAATCTGTGTTCCTAACATACTAAGATGAGAGTCATGTTGGCTAGCTCAAAAGGTCTAAAAATAGTTCTAGAAAGATGTTATGACACATGCTTGTATAATCATGATAATAATCTCTATGTCTGGCTGTCATTGTTTTGTACTCATTTCCAGGAAACCTCATACCTGTTTATCACAGGACCTGAAGTTGTCAAGGTAAGTGATTATATCACATATTAATTATATTCCCTAGGTATGGTGCCACTGTTTGTTATGCGGAGTTGCCCCCCTTACATATTATTAACTACCTCCATGGTTTAGTGGTTAGACCATCTGCCCGGAGAGTGGAAGGTCGCGGGTTCGATCCCCAACTGCGTCATACCAAAAGACTTTAAGATATGGTACTTGTTTGTCCCTGCCTGGCGCTCAGTGAGCTAGCACTATAAAACCAGCTTCAGTATTGGTTAGTACAAGCAGCCGCACATACACATACACACGCATGCACGTCGTCATATGAGTGAAATATTCTCAAGCACAACGTTAAACCCGAATTCACCTCAACAACCCTGCTTGTACTAACCAATACTGAAGCTGGTTTTATAGTGCTAGCTCACTGAGATACCATGCCGCAGTGAAGCAGGAATACCCCACTCAGACACATTATACTGACTCCGAGCCGACCGACCAGTCCTTGTTGTACCCATTAAAGCCGAGCGCCAGACAGGGACCAACAAGTACCATATTTTAATGTCTTTTGGTATGACGCAGTCAGGGATCGAACCCGCGACCTTCCGCTGTCCGGCAGACGCTCCAACCACTACACCACAAAGGCGGTACTATTTCAAGAGGTTATGTAGTTAAACTCAACAAGCATGAGAGTCATGATCCATGTTCAAGGGACATAACTCTTTGGTGCTTATAATGCATGATCCATTGTCATCATTACACAAATCATGCAACACTTGAAGTTCACATATTCATTTAATGAGGTAATAAATAGTCTCGTACAGAGATGCCTTATGATTGTTTGAGTAAATTCAACACATCCAGCATTACACTCCTTGTAAGTGCATTCAGCAAGTCTGCATATTTCAATACAGTGTCATCTCGTATTTGAGGATAACACTTCATATTTGCATCAAATGACCTCACGCAGGACCTGTAGTGATGTAGCAGAGCTTCATCTGGACCCACGCTCATGACTGTCATGTTATCTCGTATCGGTCTACTCATGTGGTGGATCCCCAGCTCAAACACGTGACTTGGTTGGATTAACAGTTTTGACCTTATTTTGCTTGTTACTTGAGTTCGGTCACGTCTTTGAAGGAATTGTAACGTTTGACCCGGATCTGGCTCTTGGTTTGGACCGAAGAAAACACTTTGAAAAGAAAAACCAGCAATGTCATCCAAGTTTGAAAGACTATGTTCAGATTTCAAGGCCATGTTATGCAGCATGGTAACCCAGTTGTTGGCTTGTCGGGGAATTAGAATCTCGTCAAGATCGGTAAACAGTAAAAATTTGAATGCTGCCATGTTCCTGTACAGACAGTCTTGAATTGCCAGCAACTGTCCATTGTACCATATATTGAACACATTGACGCCAGGCGGGAGATTCCAGTTCAGAACATGGATGTCACCTTTTGCTGTGTAATATTTTAAAAGTTTTTCAACACTTTTTGATACGTTATACTTGTAGAAAAATAATTTTGATCCACCTAGTATCTTTGTCAGTTCAATGTACTGAATTAGAATATTTAGTGGAATATTTCCAAATATGGGTGGCACACATACTCGGAAAAAACTTAGTTGCGAGTCAGAGTTGGAATTGGATTGCAGTGGAGTTAAATTCAAGGTCAGTTGAGGATTGCTTTGAGCAAAGTTGGTGGAATAAGTTGACAGGGAAACAGTTGTGGGTGTGTCGTGTATCAACTCAGGCACCTGACATGTATAAATATACCCACCATACCCTTTGCCATGATTTTCACACATTTCATATTTTTCGGTGAAAACAGTCAGAGCAGTTTCCTTGTTTTCACCCAAGTAGAATCTGCACAAAAGGCCTTCCAGGTTTGTAGTCCTCTGAAGTGCAAATATCCGAGCATACGTCTTATTCTGTATTCTTTTATCGAGAAAAGCTGCATACACATAAATATGCTCCAAATTTTGGAATTCGACTGATCCAAACTTGATCTTTCCAAGTTTGATATTAATGTTTTCCTTCTCAAAGTATAACGGACGATGGACGTCTGTTCCGTGATAGTTTGAAGCATCAATGAGTCGCATCTGGTCAGTTGTCCTCTGCCACGTGCTTATGTTTCTGATGCCATCCTTCTCTTGAATGGACACTGGTCTGCTGTGAGTGTCCTGACCAGTGTCTCTTAGGGGTGTCCACTCCTGTATCTGTGGAGACCTGAAGTGGATGTAGTAGGCCAGAGATAGGTACGCCATCACTCCGAGGATGAAATAATACGTATACCGCTGCACTCGTAGCATCCTCATCTTGATTGGTTGTGTATATGAAACAAGGATATTTGCCGTTTTTATGGTATCACATGGGTGTGATACACCCAGCTCTTGTTTTACTTGTATCCATGCTGCAACATAGTGAATGTTTCACATGTTGGATTTTTGAAACAGTTAAAGCAGATTTGGTCTTTCATAATGATCATGAGAAACTGTCAATGATGATTATTTGAGCAAAGTTTTGTGTTCGGACAAAGTTTCTGTAGTTGAATACTATATTTCCAGTGATTCTGTTTCCAACGGGTCTGGGTCTTCAACCGGACACAATATGAGGGACAAGATCTGCAGTCCAATAGTCTTGATTGCTTGGCCCTCTTTTTCACAGATTACATATTTTGAACCATAACTACTTATATCAGCCTAAACTACTGATAAAGTGCTGTGTGTTTGTGAATGTGAACTAATCTGTTAACGACAGTTTGTCTTTGCTGTTTGTTCAGTGCTGCAGTTTGTTGACCTCTGTCACCTTACAGTGATGGAGTGGGCAACCTTTGTTGCCTCCAGTTTGAGGTTCTGGTGCTGAAGCGGCAGGTCAATCACTCCTAGCTGGCTTCCTTGCTGTTTGTGGTAATTCTCTACATCTGGTAGCCATATCCACACAGTTGCAGTCCATTTGAATCACGCCAACCTGAAAGAAGTAACATGCATTAATAACAGTGTACCTGTCATCTTGTGTTTTACAAGTCACTTGGGGCGGTGGGGTAGCCTAATGGTTAAAGCGTTGGCTCATCACGCCAAAGACCCAGGTTCGAATCCCCTCATGGGTACAATGTGTGAAGCCCATTTCTGGTGTCCCCCGCCGTGATGTTGCTGGAATGTTGCTAAAAGCGGCGTAAAACCAAACTCACTCACTACAAGTCACTTAGTCAGAAGGCTGGTCTACAGGATAGTGCATTGGCCTGTTGTAAAGGAATCTTGTGTTTGATTCCCTATGATACCGATGAGATACAAGTTGAGCGTGTAGTGAGGGTAATGGTGTCTGCTCCTTAACAGTTGCAAAAGTGTTGTACAGTGGTGTAACCATCCATTTAACCTCCCTCTCTCTGTTCCTCCTACTTCTGATACAGCATGCACTCACTCACATATAAACACTGGCAACACACAAGTTGATGTCTCTCTCTGTCTCTCTCTCTCTCTCTCTCTCTCTTTCTCTCGGTCTCTATCTGACTCTCTCTCTCTCTCTGTCTCTCTCTCTTTCTCTCTGTCTGTCTCTCGCTCTCTCTCTCTCCCTCTGTCTCTCTCTCTCTGTCTCTTTCTCTGTCTCTCACTATCTCTCACTGTCTCTCTCTCTGTCTTTTTCTCTGTCTCTCTCTCTCTCACTATCTCTCACTCTCTGTCTCTCTCTCTCTCTCTCTCTGTCTGTCTCTCACTATCTCTCACTCTCTCTCTGTCTCTCTCCCTCTCTTTCTCTCTGCCTCTCTCTCACTCTCTCCATCTCTCTCTCTCTCTCTCTCTCTCTCTCTCTCTCTGTCTCTCTCTCTCTCTCTCACCCACACACACATTGGGAAACAAACTTCCAGGTGAGGTACACAGCCTTATCCCTCATTCAACCTTCATTTCTGCAGGACACCACTGTGTGTTGATTTGAATACCCCAGTGTCAGGTGACTCGTTATCTGTGTGTTCTGACAAGAAGGGATAAATGACCATCCCCCAGGCAGAACTTCATGAAGAAGTCTGGTATTGCTTCTGACAAATACATCAGCCCACTGTCCTATTTAACTCATCAAAATATTGCATTTTGTGAGAAACATTTCAACAACGCTCAATCCTAACTGAGGACGAAATGTACTGGTTTTAGCCAACGGAGTTCTCTTTTAAACAGAATATCTTTCACCTTGAGCAAGACTTGATCACCTAAACATAACCTCGAGCGATGATGTTGAGTATGATGTTGTTTTTTGATATTTACACAAACCTGATTTTGCACAATTTCCAGAGAAAAAACCTCTACACAACCAGTCAGACTGTGAAATTGTAAGCTTCCACAAATCCTGTTCTCAATATCCTCAGAAAAACACTGACTGCAGCAAAGTCCACACACACAATGCTGTACACAGTCATCCAGTATTTAGTATTGCCTGCAAATGTCCATCCTATGGCTTCAATAGAAAGCCTCCACCTCTGGTACAGCATCAGTTGATTTTCCCTGCATCTCCGTCCCCAGCAGCCGTAACATACACTTGCCCCACAGTCGTATGTATTACGCTGACCTCAACATGGCTCTCTCTACAAAAACATTTTTCGTTACTGCCGAATCTAGCAATTACCTCTCTATATTGTATAAATGTGTTTTATTAGCGTGATGCTGTCGGATGCTGTCGTAGAGCTCCCTCCAGTAACGTAAGCCTCTCTCTCCCCAGCTGTGCCCCACTCTTCACTTATCTCTCACTGCTCCCCAGCCTATCTTGATGGAGCAGTGCTGGCGCTGTAGAGTGCAGCTCATACTTTGCGACCCTGCAAATGTAATTACAGTAAACATAAAAATACGCTTTTCATTTTTTTGATATCACTGGAAAATATCAGCCTTTTGAAATATCCTTTCATCATTGCTTTTAGTAATCATTGGCAGAAGCTCAAGTTGTGTTTATTTGTGTTTAAGGAAGGTTGGGCTACATGTTGCAGTGTTGATAGTTTCAGATTATGTGTTTGCCTTATTTCTGTCTACTTTGTGGCACAGAAGGGTAACCTTATTTCTTTGGTGAATTTTAAAGAGGTTATACCCGGATGAAGTCATGATATCAGTAAAGTTGATTTTTATTACTGAGGATATGTTATTTAAACCTTTGAAGATCTGAGTTAGAATTTGTCTTCACTGGGTTTTACGAGACACGCAAATGTAGAGAATGGAGGCAGAATACAAATTCACTGCATCCAGTGAGGTGCGCAGTATTATTCAGTGTACCCACAACACATCTATGACTTTGCTAAGTGTTTGGTTGTTTCTTTTAGAGCAGCTGCGTGTATCATATCATCCATCAATCCACATGATCAGTGATTCATTCCAGGCTCTAAAGAAATTATCAAAATGTACAGTTCTCTTGACTGTTCCTTCACAGGACCCTCGCATTGCCTACAAGGTCCCTTAAAACTAAAAATTGGGGGTCCCCGGGACCCTGTTTTCAACAATCTGTGCATGTTTTAATGTGACTAGACTAATAGTCTCTGAATATATAACAAATAAACCCATTTAAATTGAAAAGGAGCCCAAGGGAGACCAGAGATTCCTGAACCTGAGGAAATCTAGACTTGCTTCTCTTAGGGCTTTAGCATTTGCAGAAAGGGCTAGGCAGTAGGGAAAATAATGTGGCCAGGGACTGTGAGACAGACAATGAAGTCTCTAACGGGATCGGACCGCCTCTGTGGTGTAGTGGTTAGAGCGTCCACCCGGAAAGCGGAAGGTCGTGGGTTCGATCCCCGACTGCGTCATACCAAAAGACGCTAACATATGGTACTTGTTGATCCCTGTCTGGCGCCCGGCATTAATGGGTACAACAAGGACTGGACGGCTCGGAGTCAGTATAATGTGTCTGAGTGGGGTATTCATGCTTCACTGCGGCATGTTATCTCAGTGGGCTAGCACTATAAAACCAGCTTCAGTCTGGGCTAGTACAAGCAGCCGCACATACACATACCCACGCATGCACGTCGTCATATGAGCAAAATATTCTCAAGCACGACGTTACACACAATTTCACCTCACCTCACCTAACGGGATCGGACGGACAGACTTGCTGACTTGGTTAATGCATGTCACCGTATCCCAGTTGTGTTGATAGATGCTCATGATGTCAGTCACTGGATTGTCTGGTTGGTCCAGCCCCCATTATTATAGAGATGGTAATTGACTTCAGGCAAAATTCAAACTGTGCCCCTCTGCAAATCCACGGTGAAACGATAGAGACTGTCACGGATTACAAGTATCTCGGAACTATCATAGACAGTAAACTCACTTTCTCTCAAAATGCCGAGGCTATATACAAGAAATGTCCACAACAGATGTATTTTATGAGAAAGCTCAGATCTTTTAACACTGACAATACCATTTTGAATGTTTTCTATAACTGCTGTATCCAATCTATTTTACTGTTCTCTGTTCAATGTTGGTTCGGTGCCCTTTCTCTCCAAAACAAAAACAAACTGCAAAAAGTTGTAACCATCTGTTCAAAAATTGTCGGCATGAATTTTAACCCCCTTTGTTATATGTATGAGAATCGTGTTTTAACGTCTGAGAACAAAATTTTATCTGACCCGTCTCACGATTTACATTCTTGTTTTAAACTTTTACCATCTGGACATAGATTCCTCGTACCTAAAGTTCGCACAAAAAGGTCCCAAACATCTTTTATACCTGTTAGCATTAGACTTTTAAATGAATGTTAGACCTAGCCACAATTTTATATGTATTTGTCTACTGGTCTCTTACAGTATACACTGGTTATCCTTCTCATCCTGTTTATCTGTGTGTTTAAGGTGATCGTTGTTCTTTGCTTAACTTGTTTTAACCATGCTGTATGCCTCACTGTTGTAAAGGAATTCCTTTGTCGGGCAATAAAGTATTATTATTTACAGACCGCCGCCATGTAGCTGTAATATTACCTAATCAACAGGCAAATGAGAATGAACTTATTGTATATTAGTAATAAGTCTTTAATGGTGTCTAAGATTTCCTGGACAATGTCTGTGATCTAAGGAACTAAGCAATACAGACGTATGGGGTGAGGTTAGGTGAATGTTTTGTTCAAGACTGTTTCACTGATATAGCAACATCTGCACATGTCAGTTTGTGTGGCTGCCCAGTATATTTGTCTGTTGTATGTTCCAGCCCACAAAGATACTAAGGATATTTAACATTGATACCCAACTCAGACACTCAGGGGTGGAAATAACCCATTGCCCGACGCCCGAGTCCATTGTTTTTTTCTGTCGGGCAAGCAAATTTGTATATCACACTGTACCGGTGTCCAGTTGACTTTCCAATATTAATTATGTTGTTTATTTAAAAAAATCAACAAGAAAACGGACGGTATAGTGGAAAAATTATCAGGGCAAGTGATTTCACAAATTTGTACTTCCCAGCTTCTAAAATGCCACTAAAAGAAGTCACTTCTTTGAAAATATTATTTATTTATTAGGGATTTAGCAGGATGTTTTTGTTCCCGTTTCAAAATTCTTAGACCAAATTTGATATACCACTTCTTTGAAGTATATTATCCCCTGATAGTAACAGCTCCTTACAAATAAGAGAAATACAGGTGAAAATTTCTTTGAAAATATCAGCTCTATACGCTGACAAAGAGCATGAAGAGGGAATGTTTTGAACTTGATAAGATTGGAACTTTATTTAGATGTCAGTTGCGAAAGTGTGATATTTTAGAGGCAAAACCTGCTGGTATTATAACCAAGCTGGGCTTCCTCACTTGCCCACAGTGTTAAGTATGACATTAGGTGAGGCAGCTCTCCATGCCTCCAGCAGAGAAACCAACAGTCAAAGGGGCTGCCAGGGAAATCTGATAACGGCTGACATATGTCTGTCCTATCACTTTAAAGCTTTAATTTTTTTCCTCAAAGAAATATTTCTTTCAGATTAGGGAATGTGTTAAAAGCTAGCTGGAAGTATGCTGTGGTTTATTTTTTATAACTGGCTTCCTTCCCTTGCTATTAGGATATTGTAACATTCTGAGAATATCCTTCATTTAAGGAGGGAAAAATGTTGCAAAAATATTAGGGACTGTGACAATGTTGTTCATGTTGCACCTTGTACACGGTCTTTGTTCAATTTTCCAAATATTCCTGTCTGTTTTATTTCCTTTTGTTGTACAAGCACCTTCTTTTAATGTCTTTTGGTTTGAACAAACTGGGGATTGAACTGTTGAATTGTTGCTATCCAGACAGATGAGTGGGTCCAGTGGAGAGGTTATGGTTTTACACCGCTTTTAGCAATATGCCAGCAATATCATGGCGGGGAACACCAGAAATGGGCTTCACCCATTCTACCCACGTTGGGAATCGAACCTGGGTTTTCAGTGTGACGAGCGACTGCTTTAACCACTAGACTACCGGAGAGGATGAATGTCAAAAGCAGTAGTCAGCAGTGTTTTAGACACACCTGCCAGTGTAGGACTCCACAAACCAGTGCAAAATTGACAAACTTTATGGATAACAACTTCTTTATAACGAGAGTTATCCATAAAGTTTGTCAAATTTGTACTTCCCAGCTTCTAAAATGCCACTAAAAGAAGTCACTTCTTTGAAAATATTATTTATTTATTAGGGATTTAGCAGGATGTTTTTGTTCCCGTTTCAAAATTCTTAGACCAAATTTGATATGCCACTTCTTTGAAGTATATTATCCCCTGATAGTAACAGCTCCTTACAAATAAGAGAATACAGGTGAAAATTTCTTTGAAAATATCAGCTCTATACGCTGACAAAGAGCATGAAGAGGGAATGTTTTGAACTTGATAAGATTGGAACTTTATTTAGATGTCAGTTGGGAAAGTGTGATATTTTAGAGGCAAAACCTGCTGGTATTATAACCAAGCTGGGCTTCCTCACTTGCCCACAGTGTTAAGTATGACATTAGGTGAGGCAGCTCTCCATGCCTCCAGCAGAGAAACCAACAGTCAAAGGGGCTGCCAGGGAAATCTGATAACGGCTGACATATGTCTGTCCTATCACTTTAAAGCTTTAATTTTTTTCCTCAGAGAAATATTTCTTTCAGATTAGGGAATGTGTTAAAAGCTAGCTGGAAGTATGCTGTGGTTTATTTTTTATAACTGGCTTCCTTCCCTTGCTATTAGGATATTGTAACATTCTGAGAATATCCTTCATTTAAGGAGGGAAAAATGTTGCAAAAATATTAGGGACTGTGACAATGTTGTTCATGTTGCACCTTGTACACGGTCTTTGTTCAATTTTCCAAATATTCCTGTCTGTTTTATTTCCTTTTTTTGACATATCATTATGATGTATTTTGACACACTGGTATTTGTTCTTGAAAATGTCATGGTTATTTAGACATAGAATGTTATCAGTGGAAGGACCACAATGGATGTGTGTGGGCTTAGCTTTCAATAGTGTTGTTACAACATGTCATGTATATTTTCAAATAAGGATACATAAGGCAACAACAGTTTGATAGTAGAACTCGTGTTTCTTCTTTCAGGGGTTCAAAACATTTCTTAAAAGCACTTGCCACCAGGCAAGTGGCTTTAAGAAAGTAACTTGT